AAAGCATTATGGTAACTATGGAAGAAAATATAGAATGAAATAAATATTGATTGTTTCAATAAAGTAAAATATTTAATATATTATGGAATTAATCAAGCTTAATTGACATTTGACATGACACTCGAGCTTAGTTATGTATCAATCCAAAGCATAAAACTATGACAAATAGTATCTCGAAGCATGCGAGCCTATCAATTAAGTTCTTCACATTTAGAAATAATACATAGGTGATTTATTGAATTAAATTTAACAACCAATTATATGCCTAAATATATTTTACAATTATAGACACAATATTTCCATAAAATTCTATATGATTTCTTTCAATTATTCATAAGACTAATAAAAGGTGTAGAAAAAAAACCACTTGACGATGTTAAATATATAAATATCAATATAAAAGAATCTATAACCACATTTTCCATGCATTCTAAAATAGTGAGTAATATTCGAAATAAAATCAAGGTAATTTATCCAATGGCACAACCGTAACCATATCTTTCCACCATTCCTTATTAGACCACCTGTAAATTGATTACCCATTTTTAATTGTTTACAAACCTATTTACTCACCACATGCTGTAAATAATACTAATAATAATCAATTTTAGTTCTTTACAAAACTCACCCACTTTTAAAAAAAAAACAAACAAAACTCACCTACTTACTCGTAAAAAAATAAAATAAATATATACGTGGCAGTCAACTAAAAATATCTTGGAAATATCAACAAAATTCAAAAATAAAATAAATACAATACGGTGGCGGTCTGTTGAATATCTTAGAAATAACACAAGATCAGAACAAAATTTACTCAAAAATAGATTTATCAATTTTACGTTATTCACACAACCTATTAACTCACATACATCCAAAAGATAAAATAAATATAAATATCTTTTAAATATCAAAACATCGTAATAAAATTCTTCGAAATCATAAAGGGATTCAGTATGTGATTAAAATATTTTGAACAAAAATTTGGATTAGAAATTTTTTATAAAAATTATTTTATGAAAGTGATAATTTTAAAATTATGATATAAGACAAAAATATAATAGTTAGTGTTAACGTAATGTAAAAGTAATTAATTGACTATGATTTCATAACTAAAATTTTTTAAATGTACAAGACCTGTATATTTTGAATAATATTGTATTTGTCATTTATAATACACTAATTATTTATAAATATTGTATTTGACATTTATAAATACACTAATTCATTTCTTCCAGCTTAACCAGTGGTCTCGTGTTCGAGCCCTGGGAATGCAGCAGTGTTAAAACTCTTGAGGGAGAGCTTTGCCGCCCTTGTGGTCCTACCCGGCTCGATTCCGGATTAGTCGGTTCCCTGTGGATCCGGAAACCGGAAGGTCCCTGTACAAAAAAAAAAAAAAATAAATAAATAAATACACTAATTCATACCATAGAATCATTCCCTAATTTTATAGATTTTTTTTTATTATTATTTTAACATATAACAGGAATTTTCTAAAGTTTTAAATTCACCTACAGATTTATATAAAATTTAACATGTAATTATAAATTTACCATACAAAAATGCAGAAAATAACAAAATTTGCATAAAAGTAGTTGGATGAGCAGAATTGGATTTTACTAATTATTTTTCACCAACCATGGGCTTGGCTCTGGGCTGGCCATGGCGCATGACATACACGAGAGAGATGTCATCTCCAGCTCATTATGCAATTAAGTCCCTAACCCCATTTATGTGACTCCAAATCTGTAAAACATGCCCTATATATTAATATATGTGTACCCATCACTTTCTTTTGACCATCATAACACAAAATAAAATAAAAATAAAATAAAATAATATATTAATAAAGAGTTTGTAGTCTTTATAGAGACCAAATAAAAGGTATACACAAGATACAGTGATTTTGCAATTTTTTTTGATTGATTTGTTTGGATTATAAAGAAAAAAAAAATTACAATTTTCTTTTATTTGATTTCTGTTTCTTGTGTTTGAGTTTTGCGGTTTTTGTCAGTTCAGTTTGATGTTGTCCGGGGAAATGCTAAGGTTCCGATTACGAATCATTTCGTCATAATTTGTAATCGTTAGATCATTATGTTACCGTCAGAGATAGTTGATATAACGGTTACAAATTCTGACGGAATAGTTCCGTAACGGGATCATAACATCTTCCGAGGTTTCATTATGTTACCGTCAGAGATAGTTGATATAACGATTACAAATTCTGACGGAATAGTTCCGTAACGGGACCATAACATTTTCCGAGATTGTCCTTTTCGCGAGTCTAATTCGGATTTTATTTATTTATTTATTTTATTTAGAAACATAAAGTCATAAAACCATAAACTTCGTTTTCTCAGAAATTAAATCGGAGCCCAAATCTGTTTATTTATTTTTTTTTAAAAAAAAAAGTCAAATAAAAAAATTATATTTTTTTTTTCCTTTTTTTCAAAAAAAAAAAAAAAAATATAAATATTTGACAGTCCACTTTTTTGGAGTCTACAATTAACACACACACACACACACAACCACCACAGAGCCCAGAGTTTTTAGCCTTTTTTCTTGCTGCATTCAGTACAGAACTGAACTGGTCTCTATGACTTGTTAATTTTCTTCAAATATTTATATACAAAATTATTTAATTTCCCATTTTCATATATTATTTTTCCTCTGAAGCGCGTGGAGACGACGACGACGACGACGATTGCATCTTTTATTTTATGTCGGCTAGCTTTGATTTGGGCTTCGAATTTGGGTTGAAAAGCTGCTGTTTCCAATCATCATCTTCAACGTCGTCGTTTTCGGGTCACTGCATGCAATTGAGCCTCTGCTGCTGTGCGACTCTGTTTTTCTCCCCATCTGTTTCGATGCGTTTGAGGCCCAAAAGGTACATACATTCTTTATTTATTTATTTATTTATTTTTAATATCAATATATATCCAGTGACTGCAATCTGTTGCATTTTTGTTCTGATTATGAATGATATAATTTTTTATTTATTTTTTTTTATTTCCTAAAATTAAATATTTATGGGCATTGCAGGACTTGTTCTGGAGTAAAGTGTTTTGGTGTTTATCACATAAATCGATTAATTAGCCTATTCTTGTTCTTGAGAAATAATACATTCGTTTAAGGAAAAAAAATACAAAAAAATCTTTTAAAAAGAAAAACAAATCATTCTTTATTTGATTTGTTCTGGGGATAGAAAAAGAAAAACAGATTCAGTGACAATGACCCGAAAAATTCGGGCCAAAGCCGACCCGGACCGACCCATGAGGAAGATCCGCATAATCTGCAACGATCCGGACGCCACCGATTCGTCCGACGACGACGAGCAGCGGGCCCACGTGGGCGAAAAGAAGGTCAAACGGATGGTCCACCAGATTTCCTTCCCTATCCCCCAGCCGGGCCCACCTGGAAAGAAGAAATTTGGGTCCCCCAAACGGGCCACGAGGAGAAGCCCCGGCGAAAAGACGATTCTGCCCCCGGAGGCCACGGGCAAGTTTCGCGGGGTCCGCATGCGCAAGTGGGGCAAGTTTGCCGCCGAGATCCGCGACCCGATCAAGCACAAGCGCATATGGCTCGGCACTTACGACACCGCCGAGGAAGCCTCCCGAGCTTACGAGCTCAAGCGGGTCGAGTTCGAGACCCTGGCCCGCTCGCCTGTCGTCTCTATCCGCTCCACGATTGTGAACGAGCCGCAAAACGAGGTCGCCTACGTGTCGGATGGCTCGAGCGGGAGTCAAGAGTCGATTATTTCCCGATCTTCACCGTCGTCCGTGTTAGAATTGGATTGCATGACTTCGGATTTGGCTAATGGTAAAGCCAAATTACGAAACATGACGGACAATAATAATATCATAAATTTAACTAATAATGGTAGTAATAATAATGCGAATCACGGGTTGGTTGGGGAATTCGAAAACGAGGAGGTCAGTTTGGCAATCGAGCAAAATACCGTTCACGGTGTGGTTTCAGAGTTCGAGCATGGGGGTGGCAATTTGATCGTCATGCGAAATGTCGATAATGAGATTGTTGGGGAATTCAAAAACATGGAGGGCAATTTGGTCATTATGCCAAATGTAGATAATGAGCCTATAGGGGAATTCGAGGGTGGAGAGGGCAAATTGGTGATTACGCCAAATGACGATAACGGGGCTATTGGGGAATTCAAGAATGGGGAAGCTAATTCGGTCACTGGTCGAAGGCCAGAGAATTGGGGAGTGATTGACGATGATTTGGCGGAGTTGGCATGGATGGGGGAAATCATGGACAAGCACGTCGGGCTCGATGCACCTTTACCGATGGATGATTTCGATGTGGGCCCATTGCAACAGCGTGAGATCAACATTGATTTTCCCCCGATTAGTGATGTGGAATTTGTGGGCCAGTCGAGTGGGTTGCAGGATTTCGACTCGTTTTTCGACTTTGAAGGGTGGATTGAAGGGCTCTCTTGGTAGGGATGGAGGGGTGCAAATGCATGAAGTGATAATCGTAGTAAAGAAAAAGTAGTAGTATTTGAGTTATTTTATGTTTCTCGAGCTTTCAAGTTTGTGAGTCTTGGTTGTTGAATTAATGTTATTCTTCGTGTGTTCGATATTATTTAAATTTGAGATAATTAATATGAACTGCATATTTCATAAATCTTGTTTTTAGTTGTATCTAGGAGGTATAGTTGTTTATATCTATGTTTATTTGTTACAATTAAATTTTCAAAATAAAAACATGATATTATTATGATTTTGATTGAAGGTTGCACAATTTTTCCTAAGTTCGATCAAGCGTTGTTATATCGATCAAATTATAGGAACAGTTTGCTCGATGCGATTATTCAACATGTATATGATTTATGAATGTAAGGATTTGAGTTTAATGTATTTTATTTAAATTTTAAAATGTAAGACTCAATCTTAGTCATTAAATATATACAAAATGTGTGGTAAAAATCTACTTATTTTTTAAATTATTTAAATAAATAATTGATGGCGCTAACCTTTGAGTAGTGTTGACCGTCGGAGACCAGCATCACCACCGACTTCAGAAACTGCACATTTGTTTCATGTATAATACATAATTAGTGGATATCAAAATATGCAACTTATATCAATTAAGTATGCATTATATATGAACTCAATATGCATTATATGTACCAAAATATGCAATTGATATCAGCTACTTATGCATTTATCTATATCTATATAAAACGATTTGATTTTTTTTTTTTTAAAATAGTAGTATTTCCCGCCATTTTTTTTACTATATTGGATATGATTTCTTTAAATAAATAGATACTAGCTGGATTTTTTTTTTTTGGAAAATTCGGATATGCTTTAGGAAATATTATTCTTTAGGAAATCTATATATATATAATTACTGGCTCATGCGCATTTAATAAAACTCTTTTCGTTTTCCCGCTCTTTTCCGTTACTTTTGCATTAATCACAATTATATTTTACTTATTTTATTATATAATTTCTACTATTAACTAATAATGAAGACACATTAAATGTTATTCTACTCTAACATTTTTTTAAACTATATATTTAAAATTGTTATTTTATTTTAAACTCATTAAGCAAGTTTCTTTTATTACAATTAATTAATTATCTTTTACGGCATAACCAAACTTTTTAATGGTTTATACACAAATGTTATAATAATTATTTAAATATTTTTTATCCAATTAATTATCATAATCGTTTAACACTGTATAAATTTAAAAGTTAATATGTACGTTAAATAGTTTATATTTTTATCGTCATTATAGTAATGATAAAATTTATAAATGTGATATGCTTATTATCTAATTTATGATTTTTAAATTTTATGTAAAACATATATATATATATATAATGTATAATATAAAAAATTTTATTTGTATTTGTGCATGTGCACAGGATAAAATACTAGTATTATTCATATTGGCAATTGATTTTTTGTTGACATAAATAACTGTGAGATATTGTTTAATTGATTTGTTGGCATAAATAACTTGGATATCTTCCTTAACTATTCTTTACAATAACAATTAGATATTTTTTAAAGCAAATGGATTGATTTAAAAAATATTTTGTCTCCAATTACGTTATTATTATTAAGGTTATGATATTACTGTAAAGTTTATAGGTGTAATTAATGGGTTTATTTATTTATTTTTATTTTTTTAAGAAATATGATCATATCATTTTCTAAAAAGAAATTAATGGGACTGCAAAAAAATTAAAACAAATAATTTTATATCATTTTTCTAAGGAAAAAGTTATTGACATCATAATAAACAAAAATATATTTTGACTACGATAAACTGTCATAACATATTAACTCGAATTAGCTTTCGTATATAGGGGAAAAATACTTGCAACAAAAATCCATGAGATATCGAAAATTAAACCCGTTTAACATATCGTTTCCACAAACTACACTTGTGGAACAAAAATTGTTTTGGTTTCACGGAATTTCTTCCTTAAAAATCATAGACAATTTTTTTTTTTTTCAAGATCTGAAAATCTAAAATAATACTCCTTTCATAAAAAATTACATTTCTATAAATCATGTTGATACAAACCGACAAAATACAAGGATGGATAAAAAAAAAAAATAATATTGAATAAATTCACATAATACGAGGATGGATAAAGATATATTAATATTGAATCACTTACGAGTATTTTTTTAAAAAAGAAATATTATGTACAAAGTCAGATTTTTAATTAAGGAAATTGTTATCATTTTTTTACCTTTTCAACATTTTTTATCTTAAAATTGCCATCCATTACGGATTTTGGACATCTAAATGTTTTTGAATTTTTAAACTTATATAAATATCATATATTTTTTGGCATAATATCTTTGACGGATGCAAGATATATGTGACGGTATTTAAATTATTTTGATTCACAACAAATATGATTGATTTTTTATAAATGAAACATTACACTTTGTTTGATTTGTTTGTGGATCTTAAATAAAAATAAACCAAAAGAATGTTATATACATGTAGTTTCCGTCAATTGTGTTTAGCATCTTATTTCATGATCATTTCATAGACATTAGCCTATTTTTTTCTTTTTAATATGTTTCAAAAATAATATATAGTTTCTCATAATAATATTCTAGAAATTTGGGATTGGATATATGATTTAACATATATTTTCACTAAATTTATAAATTTATAAATTATTTTCAAATTCATAGTCAATTTTATTTATCCAAAAAGCAGTATAACTAAAAATAATAATTATCTGGAATTGATATTAAAAAAATAATATTTTAAATTCGTGAAATTGATAGACTTATAATCGCACACAAATGACTATATAAATAAATACCAAATATATTAGTTTAGCATAAAAAAAAATATTATTTGTCTACACGTGTTAGAAAAATTTTATGCTAAATTATATAAAATTTAAGCAAACATTTATTTCAAGCATAGGTAACGTAGATTACTATAAATTGGAAAAAATAATTAATTAATAATTATTAAGTGTCTTAATAGAAAATAGTTAAGTTTTATAACTTGGAAATAAATAATATTTCATCCGCTTTGTATTAAATTATTTTAAAGAATTAACTTTATGTACAAAATAAAAATTATTTTAAATCTAATTAACCATAATTTTCTAACTTTAAGACTAGATATTAATAAAAAAAACTTATGCTAATAAGATATTAGTACAAACTGATTAATTTAATAGGAATTTTATGTATTTCCTAGATTTCCAAATGTTAAAATTTTTATATTTATGTGAACAAAACTTCTGAACAATACTTATATGGACTTATCAAATTTTAAATTATTACATGTCATTAAAAATAAAAGAAATGGATAAAAAGTAAATTATTATTATATTATATTTATATATAAATAATTATTTTCATATAATTTATATGATTGATCATTATCATCCCGTGCATCGCATGAGTTCCGTACTATTTATGTATGAACTAAATATGCATATAAATTAGATGTGCGGTCATCAAATGGAAATGTGTCTTCGCTATTGCCAACGGCCAATGGTCAATGCCAGCCAAAGGCACTGGTCAACACCGATTAATTAATTTTTCAGTATAAAATTAATAGAAAATGCTACAATAAGTACATAATAAATGTACATAGAGGTGTACATAACACTCACATGGAGTGTGATCTACTTGATTTTTTATTGGTGGTGGATCCCACTCAATGTGAGTGTTATGTACACACTTATGTACACTATTATGTACTTGTAGCATTACACAAAATTAATTCTAATATGATGATTATTATTTTTTATTATATAACTATGATATAGGATATTATACTCGGTCGAGTTAAAGGAGACCGAGTGAAATCTATTCATTTCAAACTACTACAAATTTTAATTTATTAATGTGAGTTATTGGTTTTATACAAGTCAGTAATTAGAATTGAGTTTCACATTTATTTTTATACAAATTAATGGTTAGAATTGAGTTTTACGTTTGTATACATAAATAAAAGTTACTAGATCCACCTCATATATATACATATGTATGTATTTTTCCTGACCATTTAAAAAAAAAAAAAAATGGTCTTTCACGTGGAAGCTACAGATTAGTGTACTGTTGATAAGCAAATTTTATCAACGTAAAGCACCAAATTAGTGCTGGTAACAAGGTGATTAAACAATTTAGGTTCTTTGTAATATGATAAACTTGCATAAATTAAAGTAAAAATGAGGTCGGATGATTATGCAAGTGAGGCCGGATATTCACCTTTAAGGTTGTATTTACATAAGGAATATGTCATTTTTATAGAGAATTTTCTGAACCCTTTCACTATGGATTTCTAGGACTATTTATAGTAAGTAATGTCTGGTTACTGTTCCACAGACAGTTCAATTGTCATTAGATAAAAATGACCCGTATTTTAGTGTTGCACATGATCCTATGAAGTTTTTTTCACGTAGACGGCCATATTTTTGTCAGGCTTGTCCCGTCACTAATGATGCAACTGCAAGTTGTCATTTATTTTAACTGCCTTAGTGTGATCGGGTAGGGTCCTTGCATATCAATCTTTCTCACTTTGCGGAAGTCTCGAACTCGGTCTCGATGCATGATGCCTTTTTAAGTCAGGTTTGCAGTTGTTGTTGTCAGACCTAAATGTTTTGTCTGGTTCTAGCTTGGCGCCCGTCTACTTTCGTTTTTGGGTTGCGCTCTTACTCGTCTTCTCCCAACCCGAATGCTCTGCTCAGTTGTATCATTATTTAACAGTAGTATCTAATCCTGAATCCGTCCAACTCAGCTCGGATGTCAACATGGACTACGTTATGTGTTGCAATGAACTAGCTTCCACGAAAGTATGAACTAAAGTAGATCCTCGTTGGTTGTGATTAATTGTATTATTATTTGTTCAATGGAATCGACACCTCCATTCGGTCAGGCTCCACCCGAACCCTCCTTACTAGGTCTGATTCCTCTCTCGGTCTAAATTCTTACC